CTTTTTGTCCATTATCCTTTTCTGGAATATTATGATTACAATAAACATGGAAAATCTTGAGAGTGTTTTGTACTTATGTACTCACTGATACTCACTGATATGTACTCTGAGCAGTGTGTGCACTCAACTCTCCAAATGCCACATCTCACATACAACAACTCTGCATCCTCGAGCACACAGCAGCAAATCCCCACGGAATTAAGGGCTTAAGCTGCCTGAGTCAATGAAATGTGGGCACAGGGGAGTCCTGAAGCAACACAATCAGCTGACGTGTCATTTAAACACATGTACTCCATGGAACCGTGTGATTTATGGAAAACTAAATCACCTGTGAGTTGCGTTGCCTGAAATCATCGGGTAATTTTTATTTTTTCAGTCAACTGCCGAATCCTGATGTGTATCTTTTACAAATAGAATGTGGTTCGTTCCGCCTGGCGTGAAATGGGCAGATTCTCTCACGCTGACACCACGTCAGTGTAGAAACTCAGTCCAGATTCCAGGCCCCACCCAAAAAAAAGACAGGTTCAGATGAAGAGGCCCTTTTGACATGTTTTGATTTAATTCTTCCAGAATTTTGACTCCCCAATAAGGCAACAGCTGTTTTTTTCTTAACATCTGAGCTGTTCATTTCCCTCTCGGTAAAGTAATACTTCCTGATGCCTGTCTTAAACTTGCTCCTCAGCAACCTTGCACCTGTGTCCTCTGGGAAAAGGTGTTACTGACGTGACATGAAGTTCATCTATTTTATGCTTGGCTCAGTACGTTCATCTTTTAATCGCCACAGAACACCACTGTTCTGTCACATGCCCCTCAAATAGTTCCTCCATTACTTTGGATATCGCAGATCTCATCCAAGTGAATGGTATTAAATTCTTCCTAGAACCCCCAAATACAACAACAACTTGCATTTATATAGCGCCCTCATGCAGGGTAGCGTCCCAGAGCGCAATTAGCCAAAGCTTAAAACTCAGCAGTGAGTCTAAGTAATTATTATTATTAATATACACATTGACAGTCTAATGCTTAACTGATAGGGCATTGATTTTTGTTCATGGTTCCTCTCATAGGTACAATAGTTTCCAACCAAGGAATTGTACTTAAACCAACCAAAGCATCCTTAAAGCATCCTTGCCAAGAGGGAGAGGGGAGAAAGGAATTGAAATCAAACTATAACATCTTGGATACAGCCCAGGCGTCAGTTATGGAGCTTTTGTCTATTTTCCTATATTCTCTTCTCATCCAAATTCACACTAGAAATTCTAATTAATGGGCTATTCATCTCGTTGTTTGGAGGACATTGTGGGGAATAAATTAGCTGCCACGTTTGCATCCGTAACAACATTCGTTTCATTTCCAATTAATCTCATTCTGAAAAGCACTCCAAAAATGCCTCTTTACACAAAAGGCAGTATATAAATATAATTTGTTCATCAATTTTTCTATTGAAGGCAAGCATGCTACAGGTACGTCTCAAAGCGCTTCTTAGAATATACTGTAACGTGAATTGACTGTATATTTTGTGGGCAAAACACGGCAGCCAATTGCGCACAGCAGTGTCCCACAAACAGTCGTGGATTGAGTGACCAAAGGCAAGTGCTCTAACCACTAAGCTACCGGACTCCACGGATTTGAAGAAGGTATCTAATTTCTATGCTCAAAAACAACCGCCCTGAATTTTCAAGTGATTTGTTTTCTGTCCGTTAGTTCCATCACTGTTTTTGCAGCAGTTCCCTCTCTGCACTGCTATTTATTTCACATGCTTTTAATTTTTGGCAGCCAAAAATAGACCAGTTGAGGTTTAATGTGACTTATTTCAAGAGCTCGGGTATATGTCACAGGCCTTTTGAAGAAAAAGTTTCGATCTTGCTAACTTGAAGCTGACAAGCCCATTTACATTCCTAAATCGTTTGATTTGCCAGGTGTAAACGAGATAAAAAATGTATTTGTAGAACTCCCATTAGGTTGTAACTCTCTCTGTAGGTGTGTGCCTCTCTGCATCCGTGTGTGTGTCTCTCTCTCTCTCTCTTTCTGCCTGTGTGTGTCTCTGTATCTGTGTGTGTGAATCTCTCTCTCTGCCTATGTGTCTCTGGGTCTGTGTGTATCTCACTCTCTCTGCCTTTATGTGAGTGTGTCTGCATCTGCTTGTGTGTATCTCTCTCTTTCTCAGCCTGTACGTGTCTCTGTATCATGTTCTCTTTGTAAGAACTTGGTTGCCACCTCTAAAGCGCTATATCAAATGCAAGGATTATTAGTATTATTTATTATACATTTCCCACCTCCTGCACCCAGTTTGGTGTCACCTACAAATGCAACTACATTGTACTTTGAGTCTGTGAATGTCACTTATTTGTATAGTGAGGAACAGTACGGGGTTTGTTGAATAGTGGGATGGATGAGGGTCACAGATAATTCTGTGTTATAGAATGTCCTGCCTCTTTGAAAGGAGAACGATATACGGCTCCTAAAAGAAGATACAAAGGAAATACAAAGCATCAAAAAAACGTTAACCAAATTCTGGGCTTAATGCAACAACCTTATGACGAGAGGTTCATAAGCTTTTCCCCCACAAAATATACAGTCAATTCACTCTACAGTATATTCTGTGAAGTGCTTTGAGACGTCTCGAAGACGCGATAAGGCGTTATATCAAATGTAAGGATTATTATTATTAGAGGCAAGAATTCTATCAAATGAGCTAAGGTGATGCCCAAAATTAGTCTTGGCTGCTCTTAAAGGTGGTATCTCCCATGGAACACAACTGACTGTACTCTCTACACATTTAATAATAATAATAATACTTGCATTTGATATAGCATCTTATCATGTCTTCGAGACGTCTCAAAGCGCTTCACAAAGTACACATTTGATGATTAGATGAAACCACGGTTATGATGGTGTAATCGGAGTGTCTAAGACTGTTCTCCACATTGTGCTATATCGTAATCTGTTCAGAACCATACCAGTCCAACCATTTCAAAACATCTTAACAGTGTAACTGTAAACCAATTGAAAATAGACCTTAGCTCATAAAACTGGAATGGTAACTCTGGGTGATGTTGATGTGCGGGAATGAGTGGATCAGAGGAATGTTGAACAAACATGTTTGACTAATATTTTTTAAAAAGATTTCATGGAAGGTGCAAAAGCATCATCAAGATGCATCCAAGGGTTACAATAAGTTAGCGACATATTCAGGGCATTCCTGGACTGAGATTACGTACAATTAGTTCCTGGATTCACCTGTTGTGTAAGCGGTGAGTTATTTATGCAATGGCCCAGATTACTATGTGTGGCCCCACTGAACCGGTGCCCGTGGATTGAATTTTAAAATGCAGATTCCTTTTATGGATTTTCAAAAAAAAATTGTTAGATTCCATTTGTAAATGGGTTAATTTGTAGAAGGTTTAAGTGCCCAACAATGCGTAGATTCATTACACTTTGTGTCCCTTTGAATATGCGGAGGTGCTAGCATATCTCCCATCGTTTTTAATGAGATATTGTGAACTGGAAATTATGATCACAAAACCTTCCTTCCAGTAGAGTCCCTCCAGCAATTTTACTTTTAAGACTCTTGAGATTCAGAATCCTTGAAGATAAGAGGATGGTTGTTTTATGAAAGGCACGGCTCCTGGTTTTGAGGGTGAAAACGAACCATTGAGATAATTGGTACATTTACACCACTTAGAACTGTGAAATAAGGTAGCAGTTGGTTGGCAGTGAGTTACAAGGTAGTAATTCACTTGAGTGCTTCTGATGATGCTTTGTAAGTGAGATCAAGTGGTTTATGAACACTGGCGGAGTTGTGAGATCGAGTTGCTGTCTTCAACCCTTTGCCAGATAGTTGTATTGTAATAGTGCATGGTTTAACTTTTGTGTGCTTGAGGCATGCAGGCAAAGTCTACTCAAAAGCCGTAACCTTAGCATTGAGTGTATGTAAATCGCATATAATGCAGTCGGTTTCTCTTGTCGCAAACTTTATGAGAGATTAGAACATTTTGATGGCAGGTTACCAGGAATTGTGTACGGTGTAATTAAAATGTGGAAGGAGTATGAAATTTCTATTTATTTTTTGCTGATAATCATCACCTATTCAGTTCATGTTTGTGCTGCTCATGAGGTGTGGGTGAAGGTCATTTTCAGCGTAATCGGTATTTTACATTTACCCATTACGTATTGCTTAATAGCTTTCGAAATACACTCATGAGACTGACCCGGTGCCTCCGTTGGTGAAGGCAAGGCCAGGTACAACGTTAATCTGTACAGACTGGGAGCTTGTATGGTCAGTTGCCATTTGTTGCTTAGTTAAGTGATCTTGGCTCGGGTGAGCTTAGTTAAGTGATATCCCCAAAGGACCTTGGGAGTACAAATCGGTCAGGATTCTCACTGCTTATCGCTATCCAAACATACCTACCGGGGACAATAATAGTAATCCTTGCAATTTGATACTGCGCCTTATCACGTCGTTGAGACATCTCAAAGCGCTCCACAGAATATACCGTAAAGTGAATTGACCGTATATTCTGTGGGAGAAACGAGATGGATCAAAAGAGAGACTTTGGATGAAAAAACAAGCCTGTTGGTCCATTTGATTTCAAGCTTTCAAAATACATAGTTTCCTGCAATATGGTTTATCCCCCAGAATGGGGACCCTTCCTCTTGCTCTGTACTGTATGCATACATCTTCCGGTTTGCTATAGCGTCCTTATCATGTCTTCGAGACGTCTCAAAGCGCTTCACAGAATATACTGTAAAGTATAGTGACCGTATATCTTGGGGGGGGGGGCGGGGGATGCCATTGCAATGTACGGGACCGTGAATGGGTTATTTTTTGGGTGAAGCAATGATGTTTTGGCAAGTTGGAGGCCCTGTTGGGAAAGTTGTACATCGCTTTTGGCAGAAACGTATGAATTTTTGACTCGATGTGTGCAGATTGACTTTGTTGCAGTGGTGTCCAGATGATGGCGCTCTAACCTAACCTTTTCTTTCTCTTCATTTCACAGCCGAGCTCTCCTCCAGCGGCGGAGGAGGTTGCGCCCAGGGAGCAGCTGGTGAGTCCCTCGAAACTTTACTAGAGCGTGCGGAAACTTTTCACGGCGACGGTTTTGCTCATAAACCTCGAGCGTTTTTAGAAAGAGGCAAAGAATTCCGTCAGAGATGCTGTTCGCCCTGATCGTGTCAGGCTGGGAGGGAGGGAAAATTCCTGCTAAGTAGTAGCAGAGGACGCAAGGGAAATGGTTCTGTCCCACCTCAATGATATCTGTTACACTGTTAAAGCCTAAGGGCTACCAAAGATTGCACATTAGGTACATTAAGTTCCTTTTGGAGCACCTTCTGTAAGGCGAGAGAAGAATAATGTGCTTTATTTCTTATAGGTTGACGCCTGATATTTCAAAGGTAGGTAGAGTGCGCGCTACAGAAATTGTATTTAAATTACATCAGTTGCCGTTACAGCTCGAAATACTTTTTTTTTAAAAAAAAAATTGGAACCCATCAGTTCATAAACTCTTGGTGACAGTCTGCAGTGTTTCATACAGTCTCTAATTTGTATCTTGCACAGTGAGCGAGCAGTAAATTGTTTGGGCCAGGCTCCCGAGGGAGACGTTGGAAGCATGTCCAACATGTCGTTTGTTCCAAGAACAATTCAGATAGATTTCTCCTAGAAAATAATATCTCGGGATACAGTATATAGTTTGGGACACGACGTGTCAAGCGACTGCCAGGATGATGGCATGCCCACCTTTACAATATCCTATTCCAAAACGAGCTCTTGTGTACAAATGTTTTTCATTCATCTCCCATTGAGATGCTATGTGACATTTTCTGAAGCCCATCAGACGGGGCTTTAAATCATCCAAAGCACAAGGTATTCATTTGGTATTATCTTTGAGTACTTCAGCTTCTCATTCAAGGGTGGGATAATATTCAAAAATCTTTCCCGGAGGATTCCACAGCTGAGCAAATCCTTTATCTTTACCGACATGTAGCTGTTTGAGGTTCCTGTGACTATTTTTGGCAAGTGGTGTGATTTTCCAGTCTCCATTTGTGAACTCGGGGTGACGCCTTGTTGGTCAGTGTTTGAAATTCACCGAGTTTGGTCGGTGTCTGGGATTCACTGCACCCTCCACACCTCTGCCGTCGGACATCAAGGAAGAGATACGTGCCTCAAGTGTATCTTTAATGTAAAAGCCCTCAATGTTAAACGACAAAGACCGGCGAGGAGAGGAGATTGTGACGTCGAGGTTTTTGTGATGGTGGCGTAACGGGTGTGAGGATGGGACAGGATCATAGCATCACTTTCAGTCCATTTAGCCGATAATGCTGTTAGCATCCCCGCTACATAAATCCCTATTCCCCACACTGCTTATTTGGCTCCTCTTCAAACACATTATCCACTTCCTTTTCGTTTTTGAATGATATGGTTTTCTCTTCAATAGTCACTTGTGGCTGTGCCTGTGATATCTATTGTGGCCAATTCTTTGTCCTTGGCTAGAGACGACTCTCTTCTACAAGCAGGGGGGAGGGGGAGGCAAATCCACGTACTTATGTCTTCTAATAGTTACGGTGTCAGCAGAGGGCTCAGGGTTTTCTGCGAGGGGCAAGGCGGACGTGAAAAGAGAAATAATGAGGAAGAAACGGCAGAAAACTCGCTCTAATTGAAATATGAGGCATATTTACAATGCCGCAGTTAATTATATTTTTATTTTTCATCAACGGCTCTGTTGTACAGTTTTACTGCAGATAGTTTGCCTTGATGACCCTCCAGAAATGTTTGTTCGAGCTGCTGTGATTTGTTTTTGCCGTCACGCCTTTCAGACTCTGAAATAACTAAATGACTAATGAACAATGCGAATGATGTACATTCGTCTGCTCGTATTCAAAACCCAATCAATTCTTTATTTTATTGGACTTAATGGAAGGGACCTTACGATCCTGAAAGTATTGCAAGAAAAAAACGACTGTGGCGCGATACAACGAAACAAACCCGTTTAATCGAGCAATGAGGCCTCTCTCTCTGCCTCTCTCGGCTGACACGTTACTGGTTAACTACACAAGGACACCGAGTCAAAACTGCTACATAATAGATTACAAAAATTAGAAAAAAAACAATCCATCAAACGATGTCAGCTATTTGAATGCTTTTTAATCGATCTCTTATCCGCTGCACCATGTAAAGGTAGCTGACTCCACAAAACTCACTTGCCCTACATCCGAAAGAGTGATTTGCCTACGTCTCCTCGCAGTAGCATTATTAGACTGTTGATGTGCTGCAAGCCGGCAAGTGTAATTAGTGGTACGCTGGCCATTTGCTCTTTGAAGATGGCATGCCTGAGATGGAGATGGTAGCCTGGCCTGATAGTCTGTTGGGTCTTTAAGAGGCTAAAGGATTATAGTCTGAACAAATGCAGTAAATGGAGAACAAGTTTGACCCTTTCTATCAGAAGACCTATGTGGATTCTCAGTATTCACTAATGGATAAATGATAATTAATGTAAACATTAGAACCCATTTGCAGTTGCTTTGGGAGTTATATGATGGTTATTTTTAGACTTCGAGAGAAGCGTCCGCATATCCTAAGCCTTTCTCGGTATATATAATGTTTCAGGGACGCTGCTGCCAATATTAATTAAGGAATATTGAATTTGTCGGCCATTTAAAAGTATTCCTGGCAGTATACTTTTTAAAATTTATATTTAAAAAGTTTATTTTTCCCAGCTCTCAGTAACAAGTTTTTTCAGAAATGCCACTGCATGACCCAGTGTACCATGAATCTATGAAATGAACCTTTCAGCCTTGTTCATGGATTAAAATTAGGCGGCTCAAGTTTATCAGTTAATATAATTGTGCTGGATGTCGGTTTCGGAGGGGAGGACTGTTCAAATCAGAGCCTAGACTTGAAACATTTTGAAAGTTGGTTCCCACTACAGGCAAGTTTTGTTAGCTCGTGACGAGACAAGGTAATTTGTAGCCGTGGGATGCACAATCATTCGGGGAGTTAGAGGAGGGAAGGATAGGAGGATGGCACAAGAAAGTAAAGTCCAGCTGGAACATACATGAGCCAGTTTTCGACCGCAGTAGTGTGGAGATCAGCCCAGAGCAGACTGCAATAACACAGTTACACTTTGAATCGTTTCGCCGTCATAAGCTGCCATAAAAGCAAGTCCTTTTGCTATGCTTCGCAGAGCACCAACTGCAGTTGATCACATAGTTTTTTTTCCTGGTTTTTTTTGATATAACAAAAAGGTGAAATATAGTTGCTGAAAATTCACTCGCTTAATGCAGGGAGTGAGGGAAACATCAAAGCCACAGCCTTTTACAGTCAGGCATTTGCAACCTTCATCATAGACTCCAGCGGTGATCCCCACCGCACTCTCTGGGCTCCACCCAAGCCTTGGCTCTTCCCAACCCGTGCTTAATATTTTCCGGAATTAGGTAAGCAGGATGCGTCTCTCCAGAGAGAGAGAGAGAGAGTGCGCATTCCATTCCAGCAATCTATCCCTGGGATTTCCATGTGTAGGTGGGCTGCATGGAATTCTCAGCTTAGTTTGGAGACTCTTAAGCACAGTGATGGGTTTCCGCCTGTGTCAGACACCCGGCTGACCAAAGAAAAAGTACAAATTAATTTGTTTCTTGCAACCTGCCCGCTCTCACCCCCCCCCCCCGCCCCCTTACAATATTTTTAAGTGAATGAGGAGTATTTTTTTGCCCACTGATTCTATTTAATACTCTATTTAAAACATTTCCGAAAGTTGCATTTGCAGATTTTGGTTTGTATATGAAAGAAGAGAGGATTGTTTTTGTGAAAGCTGAAAACCTCTAAGTACTTAAAAGGGTTAAAGGTTGTTCCTCTTGATATTTTATATATTGATATTTATGTATATATTTAGTTTACAGATGTATGTATGCCTGCTACTCAGAAAGAAGCCTAGCTGCTTATTCATTTCTCATAAAAGCTAATGGAAGTCATTAGCTGTACTGATCGGAGGAAGTATGAGAGTTGGCCTTAATTCAACTCTTTATGAACAAGTTTAATAATTATCAAGGCTAAAATAAATGATTAATAAAAAAACTCCACATTGTCTGCAGATTTGGTCTTTAATCTCGCTCGTGCCTTACACTACACCGGGATGACATCTCAAAAACGCTTCATTGGTTTTACTTTTAAGTGCACTTCCAGCGCCTTGGGATGTCCTCCCAAAGTGAAATGCGCTATACAAATGTAATCTGTTGCAGCTGTTGTAGTCACGACCGTGACTTTTGTAGGCAAAGTCCTGGAAATCAGGACTGTGGTGATTTTAAGGCATGAGTTGCAGGTATATTGTTAAAGCTATGACCTCCCCCAACCACCCATGCAGAGAGCCCTGAAATTGGGTGTCGATGTTTTAAAGGTTATTAAAGAGTGTGTGACCAGTGGGCTTCCCAACAATTTTCAAGGGGAAAACGGGGAGCAGAACCACTTCTTGATTTGAATTTTTATTGTAAATTGACGTGCTGCGGAAGGCTTTCACAAAGGCGGTGGCCAGCCGGGTGTCTTGACCCACGTGGAAACCCATCACCGTGCTTAAGAGCATCCAAACCAAACTGGGAATTCCAGTGAGGCTCCAGTAACACTTGATTTTAAGTCGCCTCGCTCATGCCCTATTTATTACTGAACCTTATCGTGCAAAGTGCAACTGAGAAACGCAATACACATAGCTGTACGATGTCCCGTTTCCCGTGTGCTGTATTGGTTTATTAGTCTTGCAGTGGTTGTGAAATGCTGGTCCAGGCTTTTGGTACATTTTTCTATCATTAGAAAGTCACAACAACAACAAACTTGCATTTATAGAGCGCCCCTCACACAGGGCAGCATCCCAGAGCGCTTGAGTATCACAAAGTGCCTGAAGAAATCTTAATATGACATTTGTGAAATGTGTGTCAGGGCTATCGCCTTGCCTGTAAATGTACCTTTTCTGCTGAAAAAAAAGATTGGTTACCTGAGAATCAAAGGCATGTTTTCACCCGCAGGGTGTGGACCAGTTTAACAACTACTCGTACAAAATGTTCTGTA